AAAATCCTTGCTTTCATCAATCCCCACAATAATGTAAAGTTTGGAGGGAATCAATCCAGGAACACTGGAGTTAGAGTGTGATTAGTGAAAAATTGCCTTAGATGTAAAATTTAAAGTTGCGCAACTCTGGAAAGACAAACAATTAAGAAAATCGCAAGGGAGCTTCCATTTATCAATCCCTACATTAATCTTAAGTTTGGAGGAAATCAATTAAGGAATACTGAAGTAAGTGCGCGATTTGTGAAAAAATTCCTAAAATCTAAGTGTTAGGATTCTAGCTGTAACTCTTGAATCACAAAGAAAAAAATAGAAAAAAATCAAAAGAGAGCTTTCTTTCGTCAGTTCTAATGTTGATATGAGAATTGCTTAAAGTGAATATGAGTTATCGTACGAAGTGTTGACGGACAGACTGACGTACGACGGATAGACAGACGGACATTGGGATACCATACATGTGACACTTCACGTCTTCGACGGGCGTATATAAAACAAACCCCATCGAATACCAAGGATGAACTCCGGTTAATGAAGTGGTCACTACTCCCCTATTGTCATTCAATTGAGAAACTGATTGCACGTAAGGGTCCGGTGATAAGTCGCATTTAACAATATAACAATCGAAGACAGTATGACAAGGATATCCAATAATGGTTGACCAAATCATGGAGGCGTTTGTAAAACTGTCGGAATTACTTCAACTTTACTATTTCAAACCCTTAATGCAACAGCTTTTTCGAGAGAAGTAACTCTCAACCAAGGAAACCATGTTAGGAAATTCAAGTCATGGAAATATCCGCGGTCATGAGGCATGCTTTACATAAATGTACAGTTTCAAGGCATAATAATTGCTTATATAAAGCGAAAGTTAATAAATCATTTGCAGTTTTTAATCGAAATCATAAAGCCGTTAATATGCGATAAAATATTATAAATGTGTTTCGTGCAACACGTGTGTTCATATCAGAAAATAAAAGTCACGTTCCAATTTCATATATCACATGGGTTGTAACGTGACTGTTATGTAAAGATTAGCAGGTTTATTATTTTTATAAAAATAAAAAGATATTGTGATTGTCAATAAATAAACTCTCAACTAGAGACACAAGACGTCAAAGAAAGCAACCATAGGTCACCGCACGGCTTGCAACATTGAGCAAAAACCATACCGCATACTATAAATTAGTCAGGTTTAAAAGGCCCCAAAATAAAACTATAATAAACAGCCCGTCAGAAAGACATTAGTTAAACAGAAGAGGCATATATATGTAACAAACACAGGGCAAATATAGAATGATGTAAAAAATCTTAGTAAAACGATAGAACACGGCAATAAATATAAAGAAATAGAACATATAATTTAATACTTCGCACTTTATTTGGCTTTTATAACTTTTTAAATTCGAGTGTCACTGATAAGTCTTTTATAGACGAAACGCGCGTTTGGCGTACACAATTTTTATCCTGGTATCTACGATAATTTATTCATAATAGGAAAACTTAGGCCGACTTATTTAACAATCTCTTCAATGGTAACGCAACCCAAGTTGACCTTCTCGCTCGTTAACTAGATAGATGCCGACTTTGAAAACTTTATCTTATTATAAAGCACATTCGCGGCCGTGAAAGATTGATACCGACTCTGTTGTAATAAATTTTATTAAAATTTAAGTAATTAGTGCTAAATTAATGTGATTTACGAAATTGTAAGTAACAAAGTTTGGAATATTTTAAATATGTGTATGAGATATTGTTGTTAACTATAATTTATCGTATAAACACCAAAATATTTTGCTAGTTAACATAAAAAAAAAAAAAAAAATAAGGTCACGAAGTTTGAGTGACAATGAGGCAAAATATCTCAAGAAAAGAGCAACGGTTGAGAAAGGAACATATATGGTCTTTAACAATAAGTGGAGAACCGTATCGTTACTTAAATGCCCCTGAAAATAAATGTGATTATGTGGTACGACTTATGTCCAGTGGCAAATATTTCATACATATACTGGACGAGAACACATTATGATTTACGGCACAACCGCATAATAGAATATATATATATATATATATATATATATATATATATATATATATATAATGTATTACAAAGTCAGGGAAGACCCTGCTCAACCTTTCTACATTCCGAATCTACAAATCATATTGATACAAAAATAGAAGATGTGGTATGATTTTTAATGAGACAACTATCCACCAGAGACTAAATGACATAGAAATTAACAACTATAGGTCACCGTACGGCCTTCAACAATGAGCAAAACACATACCGCATAGTCAGCTATAAAAGGCCCCAAAATTACAAATGTAAAACAATTCAAACGAGAAAACTAACGGCCTGATTTATGTACAAAACAATGAACGACAAAAAAATATGATATACAGCAACAAACGACAATCATATCTGATAATTATAACCACAATAAAACATATTTAGAAATTAATTATCTTCATATCTAGAAAAAAATCGATCATTTTTTTGCTATACAGAATAATGATATTTGAGATTACAGTTCGGAGTAAAATGTAAAGTCTTTAAGTCCTCAAATTACACAAATTGTTACTGAAGTCGCACACAAGTATAAGAAAAATATGTCACCGATTCTAACAAATTTCATTTTTTTAAACTCTAAGATTATCAGAGATATCAAGCCATCGTTAACGCATACAACGAAGAACATATGCTGACCTCTAGATGACTTTGTTAGTATTTTGAGTTTTTGTTACGGTTGGTGTCTCATTGCTGTATACCCCCACATCTCCTTTGGTTTTACTTATAATAGCCGTCACAAAAAAGATTGATCCATTAACAAATATCGGATAACAAAAAAATTCCCTTTAAAATATTTTTTCCCCTTGGTATTGGTCTTTAGTTCAGACTTAAGTTATCACCCACCGAAGGTCATTTTAGTTGATTTAGTTAACTTTGAACACATGTAAATGTGCACTATACAATTTAACAACTAATTGATGTAAATTTCACTTACTACTACGGACTTAATTTGTTTATGTCAATAAAATTCAATAATTGGGAAGAAACTCGAATATTAATATGTTTTTGATAAACACAGCATTTCATATGTAAAATTGACATACAATATATTAAAATGAATTAATGAACAGTCGTTATATATGTCAATTCATGCTGTTGTGTATGACGCTGTTGATGAAGGACTTACATTATTAATATTACAAGCTGTTTCACCCGCTTACACTTATGGCTATAATTGTACATGCTGTATAACAATAAGTATGGAATAAATACCACTGTAAGGCAAGGGTTTGTATAGTACTATAGTACAAATCCTTGTATAAGGTAAGTTTTAATATTGTTTTAAGGATGTACTTGGGTGAAATTAAAAAAAAAATCTAAAATTTAAAGTTGATACTATAAGTCGGAAGAGCATTAGTTAAGGAACAAAATAAGCTAAAAATATTGATAGGTTATGGAGCTCCTTTTTGAGATATTTGAGTTCTAAAAAATGGCGAGAAAAGCCTGATTCGGACTTTTACCTTATATTTGCATGGGTTTTATTTGGGTCTCAAATCGAAAGAAAAGAAATCTAGAATCTGCTTGAATTTTGGAAATAACTTTTTATGAGCTATTGAAGTCTTATGTGAAAAGAAAAATGGGTGTTATGGGGCAAAATAATTTACCCTGTATTGTAGGGGAAAACCAAGGAGTCCGAACATGACACAAATTCCTAAACCTCACTTAAGTACATCCTTAAGTACTACACTCAAAGTATATTGTTTGTTGTCCGCAAATGTCTAGTATAATAGTATAAATACTTTTCCATGTTTTCTAAGCTGGGTCCTTTTCGTTGTTGCAAGGGTTCTATACGAACAGAGAACACGACACGCTCCCCATGACCATGCGTCGGATTTGTCGTCCAAATGTAGACTGGATGTGTATACACCTCCTTACAATCTAATAAAGGCTCCCCTTTGGTATATATTTTTTTCTGTATGATGGGATAAGCGGACATTTATCCATATATCTTAGTGGATCACAGAGATCTTTTATATTTCTTAAAGATGAAGTTAAAAGCATCTAATAGTCAAATAATTTTTTCTCAAACATAATGCATCTCCTATTTTGTCGTATCTCTACAGAAACTAAATATAATTCCATATATCAAGAGACATGTATGAGGGTGTGGATGGGGTTTACAGAATAGAGAATGATGGGCAAAAAAATAATAATAAAGAATAGAGAAAAATGGACCAAAAAAAAATAAATAAATAAACAATAGAGAATAATGGGGAGCTAAAATATAAAGAATAACTGCAAAAATTAAAGAATTGCGTAAAAATATACTGAGTACAGAAAAAAAATTCCACAATACAGTTATCAAGTAGTTACAGAATAGCCATTATTTTTAGAAATAAAGAATAATGAGCGAAACAATTATAGAATACAGAAATGAAGGACCCCCCCATCCATACCCTCACGTACAGATACATATAACACATTTTTAAATGTGATGTGTTCATTTTCAAATAGTTCATTTTTATTTTAAAGATTTAAAATTAACTATAGGAATATATTTCTGTCATAGTATTATGAATGTTACTAAACTAGAAATGGTGGCAAATATATGAATTAAACTATTTTATGTTTAAAATTCAGGTTTCATCAAAATTTGAAATTCCATATTTACAGATGACCTGATGATATTAATAAACAAAGTCAACATTGAGTTAAGTTATTTTACGTCAGCCCAATTTTATCTCCGATTTACAAAAAAAGTTATTACACATCTTTACATGTAGTGAGAAATAACTACTCTTTGGTGCATGTTCTGTGGTGCATCCGCTCGAAAATTGCACTTTATAAGGAACAATTACATGTATGTACCCGATCGGACGTGGCTTTGTATTCACACATCCCGCATAAACAAATGGACGCCCTAAATTAAGCCATGGTTTTGCAACATAAAATTTCTGAATTTGGTATATGAATAAAAATAAACAATAGCTCTCTCAGATTATAATAACACCATTGATAACATTATCAGGTGTTGTTCATCGATAGCATGGCCATTGTTTACTGATTAGTCACAAAATAACAAATTATGAAACAAATTTGTGGTTTATATAAGAGGCCCCACAGAGGTTTGATATAGTGCTTTAATTTATATTTCACAAGAACAATTGGGTTTTTACACGAAATTATCATCATATTACATGTACAGACTAATGGTCATTTAGCAGTTTATTAACACATGATTTTGCGTATTCACCAAATATAACGCAATAATTCCCCCCTACCGATTGGTCAGTTACATGTACTAAACAATTATCATCAATTGTGTATATATAACCAAGATATCTCATAACTAGGCAAGGTATATTCACTAGATTTGAACCAACGACGACTTTATTATGAAGAACTACTTGGTTTCCACAATATTTTTCGTTATTTCTGTCTCTTTGGCAACCTGTCAGGTACCACGATGGGGAAGATGCCCGGATATTCCAGTAAAACAGAACTTTGATGCAGACAGGGTAAGTGAAAGCTTTTGTATCCAATGTCACAGACAGTTTTATTTGTACAGAAAAAAATCACATAAAAAATTCAATTATTTTTTATTTCTTTTTATACTGGTAATTTTTGAAAATGATATATTCAGTCGCAAAATAAAATTGAATTGTCGCTATCGTTTTTTTAAATCTTGGTTGACTTGTCTATTCAGGTTTTAAATTTACTAGAGAACTTTGGTTTAGGTGTCTCATATATGGTCGCTTAAATTTAAGTTGAATTTGACATTTTTCATACGGTGAACATTTGTAGAATTTGTCGATATAAAAATAAGGAGGTGAGGTATGGTTGCCAATGCGAAAACTATCCACCAAAGTTAAAATGAAGTGGATGTAAGAAAATATAGGCCTTCAACAATGATAAATAAAAGTACAAAGTTGTAAACAACTACACGATATGGTTTTGAACAACACTGTGCAATTAAAACCAATCTCGTATAGTAAGCTATATACTTATGTATAAAAAGTTGAGATAAAAGTTTCATTAAATTATATATTATATATATCTAGCGGTTGCGTGATTTAGAGTTTGACGCATGTATGTTTCAAATAAGCATTTTCGTAAATATCCTTGGACTTTCTGATGTTCACATCGCATATCCTTATATTCATTGTATGTATGTGTGTCGTATAACTCTCCACTGCTGACATGAATATTTAAGGAATGACTACTATGTTTTCTGTCTATGAAGAAATAACATAAAAATGTAGTGCACACTGAATAAAATTATGTCTATGAGCTGATAGACAAAATAATTTCAGCCAATCAAAAGACGTGTTACATCCAAAATTAAATTATTAGTATATAATTAATGCAGTCGTTTTTAGTAAAGCTAGTGTTCATGAAATGTTAATATAGTTTGAAACACTGGCCTTAGCCTCATTTGTCACAACATTTTGGAGTTAAGGGTTTTCATTGGCCCTCAACTATAAAAAAAAACTGTTTGATTCAAACAATGCCTGTGAGTCTTGTGTACAGCAATTCGTGTTTTGCGTATTGAGTTATAATACTGATATTTTTTATGACGTTTTACCCTGTTGGACACCTACACATGGAAGGAGAATACACACGATTAATCACATTGTCATATTGAAAATTTGCTTGTGTCGTTGGTTTGCTGCCTTCTTGATACAATTTTAAATTCTCCATTTTTACATTTTTGATTTAATATAAACTTTTCTCTCAACAAATCTAAACAATGTGACATACTTGAAGTTAGAGAAGAGAAAAACTATTAGACGCAAATGTTTGTTTATTTTCAGTATTTAGGTAAATGGTACGAAAATGAGAAATTTTTCTTTCTTGCTGAACTTGGTCTCAAATGTATTAGTGCTAATTACAGCTTAAACAACGATGGTAGCATTAAAGTTCTTAACGCGGGAGTTAACACGAGGTATGTTTATTTTAAGAAAAAAACATGTTTAGGCTGGTTCTCTACCTTGCAACATACGGGTATCTGAGTCACCTTTGTTTTTTTCTTATATCTGTCGGGGTAAGCAACTAAAGGACAGGGAACCAGTCTACATTTTGTATTTAAATTAATTTTTTTCCACGTATGCATTACAAAACAAGTCCGGGAAATCAAACATTTTGAACATTATTTCTAATTAACACAGAACAATTCAATTCTTTTAAACATTTGGATGGCGATTTCTCCCCTCATTTTTATTTATCAAAACTCTTACAGGTCCGTTATTGGTAAAAATGGAATAATACCATATCTACAAAGTATAAAGTAATTGTATCCTACCATTTTGGTATTACAAGTTAAAATAATTCTATTACAACTGTCAATTCGAATATCGTTTCAACATTCATACATTGTTTTTTTTTTTTCATAGAACTGGTCGTCCAAGTGAAGCTGTTGGTAGAGCAACATTAGGAGAGACTGAACCAGCAAAATTATCTGTCAAGTTTTCTAGATGTAAGTATATATTAAAATTGATTTTCTTAAAAACATACAATAAATAGACATAAAATTGAGAATGGGAACAAGGAATGCGTCAAAGAGACAAAAAATCGACCAAAGAGCAGAAAACAGCCCAAGACCACCAATGGGTCTTCAACACAGCGAGAAAATCCCGCACCCGGAGGCGGGCCTTAGCTGGCCCCTTAAGGGCATACGATACAGTTACAGGGGAGGCAATGACGTTGCTAACGTAAAATGTTATTTTCGCGACGTCGAACTGCGACATACCGGGAAAAGATGCATTTTTCGACTGATTTTAATCATTCAGACTGATTTAACTTGAAAACGAGTTCATGGACCCCTCTTTTTTAAAATGACATTAGGTTTGATTACGTATGAAGATTATTTGTACAAATTTTTATGAAAAAGTCAATAATGGAATTTTTTTAAATTAGATAAATAGACAGCAAAAAATACCGTTTTTTTCCTAAACCCTTGGAACTTTGATAAAAATTAATTATTTCCAAAGAATTTTTATCCAAAATTAGAGCATACTTATGTAAAGAAGATTTTCTAGATGTTTTTACAAAAAATCGCGTGTGTTTATCTTTTGAAACAAAAGAGTAAGGCATGTCTATCCAAAGGATAAAAATATAAAAAAAAAAAATTTTGGTAAATGTCTAAAATTTTGACCCCCATTTATCTCCGAAATTAGCACATGAAGGTATATTTTATATTACATATTTGAATTGACTGGGTGAAAAATAGCTTGTAAGCAAATTTTCGTAAAAAAATCAATATGGGATCAAAACTGTATCGTATGCTTTTAACAATAAGGTATACTAGGTTTGCGAAAATGAACGTCACACTAAACTCCGAAACATATAATTAATGAACCAAAATTGAAAAAAAACAACACACAAGACTAACAAAGGCCAGAGGTTTCTGACTTGGGACAGGCGTAAAAATGCGGCGGGGTTAAACTTGTAGACATGATAACTTATAGTCTGTTTGGTGTACAATGTATTGCTAAATATAACTGTCACAGACATCTCTTTAACACCGACCCCCCTTTTTCGCCCTATAGTAAATGATGTTCTATTGATTTTGGTGCAGAGTTGTGGGTCTTGATAAAAAGGTCATATGAAGGAGGACACACTTTTTGTTCTTTTAGGGAACGAATGAATTTTGTTGAATAAATATTCATATAATGTAACTATAAACTTACAAATGTGTTGACTGCAGGCGTAAATAATTCAAATGAAATTAAACGGCGGAATTGTACAAGATGAAATTTAATAAAACGTTTTGAAAACTTCAATGCGAATCTTAAATAATGATAATATACAAGCTTTTGTTTTGCTAATAGATTGAGTCAACAAGATTATGCATACGTCCTATACGTGTGTTATACTGTTGTTTAGTCTGGTACAAAGTGAATGCTATTTCCCTGATTATCATTCAAACAATTGTTTTTAATTTGAAATATAAAACCATCAAATGAAATACAGACTTAATGAGGGTCTGGATGGGGTTTACAAAATAGATTGATTGATTGTGATTACTTAATACCCAGTGTCAAATGTTTCATGCATTTTCAGGACGATTACAGAATTTAGAATAGTGGACGAAAAAAAAAACAGAATAAAGGATTAAAAAATTATGCAAAGAGAAAAATAGGCCCAAAAAATCAGGAATAGAGAATATAAGGGTGAAATAAGGAGTAAAGAATAATGGGCAACATGAATAAAGAATAGAGATAATGGTATAAAAAACAAAGAATAAAAAATGAAAGACCCACATCCAGACCCTTAAATTATTACTGTACTCAACGTTGTAAAAAACTATTCCCACATATATGTTGATGATGTTAGACATTTGATATTTTTTTACAGTCCAACCAGCAGGTGCCTATTGGGTTTTAGACACAGACTATGACACATACTCCTTGGTTTGGTCATGTAGCGACTTCTATTTTGCAAGAACAGGTATTATACATTGTTGTCAGTCATTCATTATAATCTAAGGAATTTTTTGTAAGGAGTAAATCACGAGAAAAAGTTAATAACGTCACGGTCACATGACAAAATTATGTCTATGAGTTGATAGACAAAAGACTTTAACCCAATCAGAAGACGTGTTACATCCAAAATTAAATTATTAGGCTATGTAAGAAAACAGGTGAAATCTTTGTATAAAAATCATGCTTATAGATAGACATAGCCGTTTTGTATAGTGCGCATGCGGATGTAGAATGACATTTTTTGTAGATTTCGGAAGAAGGCGTTTATTTAACATTCATTGTGAAATAACTCGAGCAATCACTTACCACATTCTCTTCCCATGTGTAAAAAGTATAACAAAAATATCGAACTCTACGGTAAATTCTAGCAGGGAGAAGTCCATAAAAACTGACAAAATCAAACGTTATCAACCAACGGAACGAGCGGAAAACAACTGTCATATTACTGACTTGGTACAGACATTTTCCGAAGAACATGGTGGATTAAACCTGGATGTATAAGCTAAGCATCCCACTTGTATAAGGTCAGGACTTTAATATTAAACTAAATTTTGATTGGAAAGACCACAAAACAAATCTTAACTTAAATTTCCAATGTTTTTATTTTATAGGGTTGAGTGTCATAACTCCGATTAAAGTTTTAACTTTATGAAAACGAATTCCAATTCCTATCTCTATGACACACAGTTTCAAATGGAATTAGCAAACGCCTACTAACGGTTTATAGCTCTGCTAGTCGACAATTTCTTAGCGTTTTATTCTCCAATTCAATTTTTCTCTATCAACATATTTTTCATTTTTAGATTATGGTAATAAATTATTCCATAACATTTCTAATTGTAAAATAAATGTCCTCCTTAAAGTTTACTATATAAATGCAACACAATTGATTTATTAGTACCGATTAAAAAAAATATTGTATTTATTTTGGTTTCTGATATGTTCCTCAATCGAATATCTTCATAATTTAAATTCAAGTTAGCGAAATATCCAATTAAGACAAATTAGAAATTAATGTTGATTTGAACATCAACAAAAAAAAAAAAAAAAAAAACACACATGGAAGATATACACGTGTGTTAGATACATGTAACAGAAGAGTATTGTTTATTACTGCACTGACAATTTTAGTTGTTTTTACAGTACATTTTGTACTAATCTTTTAGTATGTCAGAATCTCAATACTATAATTTTTTTAATATTGACAATTTATTTTTACAAAAGACTGATATTAGGAAAAGTTGAGCGCTCACAAACTTGTTGAATTCCGCCACTTTCTGTATCTTCCTGTTTCAATAAGTCGTAATTCAGTGATTGTCGTTGATTGCTTTCGTCATATATGATTTTGGTTGATTGTTTTGTCATAATTCAAGCCATCTGTTTTCTCGTTTGAATTGTTTCCAATTTTGTCATGTCAAGGCTTTTAATAGTGGAGGTTTTGTTCGTTTTTAAAGGCCCTACTGCGACCTATAGTTGCTAACAAACACGTTATTTGAACTCTGGTGGAAAAATGGTCCCATCGGCAATCATACCACATTCTGAGGCCTCGTTGTATTATCGTGTGTATTAGTTTTACACCATCTAAAGATTATTATCTGATTAAAAATCAGCACAAATAAGTTATATTCTAAAGTCCTAGAGAACTATCGAGACGCATTTAGTTGGGCTCAATGAATTACAAAGAAAACATGGATAAGTATTTGCTTTACATCCAGTAGCAAACATTTCACGCATATTCAGGACAAACAACCACAATAAACACGTGTAATCATATTACGATAATAGGTGTTGAGAACCAGAAGTTCATGAGAGTATCTATAATTAGATACTCAAAAATCGAGGGTATTTTGAAAAAGTTTCATTTGGAATTAAAATATTTCTCTTTTTTAAACGACATATCGATATATCTATGATACGTATTTAGTTTAAGTCAAGCTATAGATAATTAGATTCGTTTATGCATGAATCGTAATAATGGACAGTCCATAGAACTAGGAAACATATTTGAAAATAGTGTTCTTAAGTGCCAATCTGCCTAAGAATCAGGCAGTGGTGAAAACATGACAAACAAAAACCCACCCAAGCTGACATTATATTATGTTAAAATTGTATAATGGTGCATGAATATAACATTCATTTCCTTTTCCTGTTCTGGTAACTCAAGATATAATTTGGTTGAAATGCACTAGAAATTAAAAATTAAGGGGAGCTAACTCCGTAATTTGCTATCATTCTAACCAAAAGTTATTTAGAGATATCTCGATTTACCAGACACGCACAATCAAAAGACCTTCTATTTCTAACTCAGGATGAGATTAACTTCAAAATAGGATGGTTAGGTAGGTGGGTTTTTTTGGCCATGTTTTGAAATTTTTCTTAATTGTCTTATTCTTACAAAGACTGGCACTTAATTTACTACATCTTTTTTTAATTTTTTACATTCCTTGATTTCACATATTAGGGTTTGGGCGTTCCTTATGAAGATAAATCTAGAGAATTACTACGGACGCATGAAAGTTATAAGGTGTTAGTTTCATTTTGCATAAAATATAGATATACATTTGTACTACTGAAACTGTATTTGCCTTCAAAACTGCTATGATTTCGAAGTATATAATTATTGAAACACCTCCACTTTTACAATTTGTTTCTTCAGAAATTGCTTGGATTCTGACAAGAGACCGTGATGGTGTAGACGAAGCAACAACAAACAGATTAAAGAACATTCTACAAACGTATCACGTTGATACAACTTCGTTTAGAAAAACCGATCAAATTGGTTGTACGAAAAACATTGGATATTAAACATAATTGTAACATTCATATCACTTGGATAAGTATATCCGACCAAAATGGATGTATGTAAAACATGAGACATAATTAAATAACATATTAAGAAATAATTTGGATTTTGTCATAAATAAAATATTACTGACTTGGTGAAATTTGTTTTATTTCCTTATTCGTTAATTATGGCACTATCAACTGTTTTAATGTGACCGTTTGTTATTCTACGTTTCTTTTCTTCTTATTATTATTATTGCACCCTCAACGTAGTTGGGGTGACATATTGTTATTCTACGCTTCGATTTTTTCTTACCGACCGTGCGAGACGCTCATTGGTAGTCAAGGTCGTTAAGCACCCCTTGATAGTAGTTTTGTTCTTATTTTTTTATATTCTTCCACTCATTTTGTCTACGGTAGTTCTCAGAATTGAATAGACCAATGATGAAGGAGATTCTACTATACCATAATGTGGGCCACAATGTGAAGTTGTGTACCTGACTTGGGAATGGTTCAAGATGGCAATGGTTACCATGGAAACCAAAATGATCCAAGGATAATGAAACTTCACACAAATATTAGTTGGCATATGTAGATGTATCAATTGACTTTTGAATTTTCAAATTGGCCGCCGTTACCATTTCAACCCTCCCCATTGTTTCCTCCATTCCAACCGTTCTAATGAACACCGCGTCCTCCGTTACCACCATTTCCACCATTCCCATCGCCTCCTTCAATCCCATTATTCCAATAACCACCATTTCCTCCATTACCACCAGTTCCGCCATTCCCATCGCTTCCTTCACTCCTACCGTTCCAATGACCGCCACTTCCTCCATTCCCACAATTTTTACCATTCCAAACTCTTCCTCCATTCCCCCCGTTCCAATGACAACCATTTCAATGACGACAATTTCCTCCATTCCCATCGCTTCCTCCATTCCCATCGTCCCAATGACCACCGCTTCCTATTCCTACCATTTCTATCATTCCAATCGCTTTCGTCACACCATCCATTCCAATGACCACCATTTTCTCTATTCCCACCATTTTCACCGTTTCCATCGCTTCCTTCACCCCCACCATTCCAATGACCACCATTTTCTCTATTTCCACCAGTTTCAGCATTCATATTGCTTCCTCCATCCCCACCGTTCCATTGAACATCATTATCTTCATTCCCATCATTTCCACAATTCCCATTGCTAATCAATTCCTATCATTCCAATGAACACTGTTTCCTCCATTTCCAACATTCCCATTGCTTCCTTCACTCCCAACATTTCAATAACCACAATTTCCTCCCATTCTAACTATTTCCACAGTTCCTATTGCTTCCTCCTTTCCCACCGTTTCAATGAACACCATTTCCTCCATTCCCATCATTTCTTACATTCCAATTGTTTTCTCCATTCCCACCGTTCCAATGAACAGCATTTGCTCCTATTCCATCATTTCTAACATTTGTATTGCTTCAATCATTCCAACCGTTCCAGTGACCTCGTTCCAACATTCCTACAATTTTCACCATTCCTACCATTTCCAACATTCCAATGACCATTATTTTTGTCTATTCCCATCATTACCATTATTCCTATTGCTTCCTCTATTCCCACTGTTCCATTGAACACAATTTCCTCCAATTCCATCATTTCCAAAATTCCTATTGCTCCCTTCATTTCTACCATTCTAATGACCATCGATTTCTCCATTCCCATCATTTTCACCATTCCCATCGCTTCCTTTCCTCCCACCAATGTTCACCATATTCTCTATTCCCACCATATCCACCTTTCCTATTGTTTCCTCCATTCCCCTTATTCCAATAAACACCGTTTCCGCCATTCCCACCATTTCCACCATTCATTTTGCTCCCTCCAATCCCACCGTTCTCATGACCATCACTTCCTCTATTTTCACTATTCCCCTTGCCTTTTCGCTACATTCGTTCTAATGACCACCGCGTCCATTCCTACCATTTTTACCATTCCCATCGCTTCTTTCACTCCCACCATTCCCATGACCAGCATGTTCTGTATTCCCACCATTTCCACCATTCCTATTGTTTCCTCCATTGCCATTATTTCAATGAACACTATTTCCTCCATTCCCACCATTTCCACCATTCCTATTGTTTCCTCCATTCCCGTCAGTACAAAAAACATTATCACCATTTCTACCATTTTGTCATTTATCACAATTTAAACACCCCCGCTTCCTAAGATTCCACAGATTGAATTTATGTTGTATGTCTGGTGTTATAACCTTCACCTTCATCCATATTTATTGTTGTCTGTTCTGCGCAATTCCCTTTGTAGTTTATCCTTGATGATTTAATAAAACAAATGATACATGTTTTAGCACTTTCTTAAAGCTTAGTACAATGAGCATGGTGTTAACATTTGAATTCATACACATTTATGTCTCTCAATGATTCTAGAGAATGCATATTTTATAGGTTAGACTGAATATTGTTAATTGCTTACGGTTAATCAGTAATATCAAATTCGTAATGCATTCCACTAGCTACATATAACAGTAAGACATGCTTGGTAGAACAGCGAAAGGGTTCAATATAGTTGACAAGGATTCAAAAGGAAATGTACTTATTCCTTTCCCAAATATTATATACAATCACGAATAAAAAAGAAACACATCACATAAAACTTCAATTAATACACTGATATAAACAACTAAAGTTAAGCCCTTTAGAAGTATCAAACAACTGTCAATAAAGAATGAATCATTCCATTTGAAATGAAGCGTTCAGGTTTTATTTGTATTCAAAATGTTGAAGATTAAAAAAAACTGTTATGCAAAAAATGTCTGTTGAGAGAAGAGATAAACAACGGTGTTCGTTTTTGACTTAAACATGTTGCTAAGTACTAAAAAAAATATTTTGGTGCGTAAAAGTAAATGTCGCTTCCCGCTGAATCGAAAAATCTACCCGTTTAGGTTGAAAAGACTCACCCTCGGTCTTATTCCTTTGTTATATCATAAACAACAACAATTCCATCCCGTGATAGCAATTGAGTTAATGCAAATCTCAATTTCGATGTAGACATATCATAAGCATTAGAACCAACGTGTAATACTATATTTCGGGAATACAAGTTTACTCTTCAAAAAAACTGCAGGAACTCAGATTTAGTTTAAACACATTATATGTGATATGTGATATATTGCAATTCAATTAACTATTCAACTAAACATATTTATTAAATTGTTACTTCCATTATGTCTACAGTAAAATATGACATTATCAATTGCAAGTAGTGTGATGAGGTATACTCAACCAGCTGTGTCCATCTGATTAGGATTCTTAAGTATTCTAACGATCTACTTCAAAACTTTTAATCATACCATTACAATTTTGCAGTTATATTAAAACGATTTCTATAATAGTTAACCCGTATTGACCGTATTATTATTGTATTCATTTTTAAATACACAAGAATCTTCAGCAGATTATTGTATTCAAAACAGGATGCTTTCGCTTACAAATACAATATTTTTTCATAAAGTGCACCAATCATAAAATATACGAAGAAATAAATACAGATGGTAAATCATATGTATACCGAAGAAAAAAAAAAAACCAACCAATTTTTGTTAATTCCATGTGCTAGATCTGCACAAGGAATACTACCAAATGAGAGCATCATATTTTAAAATACTTATAAAATATTACTTCTAAGATCATGGGAACCACATGAATATCATTCATAATTGATATAGGTTCGCAATTTTCAATGTCCCGAAACTGTTACAACAACTAAGATAAAATAAAGGTTCATTCTCCCGTAAGCCTTTTACTTGAAAGAGAGAGAGAAATACATGTTTTATAGTTTGCGCGGAGCTGTAATAATACGGATATTGATAAACTGATGGGATGTGTTTAAATTGATTTGAGTATTTAACAGCATGTGCAGATTTCCGAAACTTCAGAGCTGTTTATAATGGGTTTTTGTTATACATAAAGGCATAATTAGTCGCTGAAACGGAAAAGGTTAAATGTTAATCAAGGTTTAGGGGTATATTAAAAAATAAACTTAGTCCGAAAAAAGCCGAAACAGACAAGTTGATAAAATGAAAAGTTATTCCATAAACGTCGATGTGTTATAAAGTCATTTAAATAAGGCAAAATTTAAAATTCAAATTCAAAATGTGTTAGGTTTACTATGTAATTTTTTCCATTTGTCCTGAATGGTTATCGGTTATATTTCATGCATGTTCAGGGTTATATATGATTTATGCACGTAACCTGATATTAGCGGGGATCGTTGATGTACTATAATTCCGTAATTAGAAATAAACAATAAAATGAGATAAAGCTACATGTATATGGAAGGTAGCATAATATTTCCGACAACTTGTATGTCTACGTATTATAACATGTCTTTTTCTATATTAGCCATGTAATTACCCCGAGATTCCAAAATAAGCCAAAGGCGCAAGCCGAGTTCTCATATTGGCCGGGGGATGATACCAGGGCAGATTTAGGAAAGGACGAGGAAGATACTCGTACTGTAACAATCAAGCAAAATGACATCGAAGTTTGTTAATGAAATCTTACTCAAAATATCACAATCGGCAATACATTTTAAATTAATTAACATATAAACTAAATTACACAAAACATGGTTCGTTTTCGCCATCAATTGAGCAAGTAATGCCATTCTAAATCATCCATCAATTTCATATTTCACATACATTATTTGATAATAGTTTCAAGTCATAAGTCTTAGGGTGATGATAAAAGAACTTGCGCATATCGCACATAACGTGAACTCATGCTAACTCGGCATAGTCATGGATTATGCAGAAGGTTGTATTCCTAATCATGCACTGGCCATATTTGAGATTTTTTCACACAGTAAACCCATTATTTCATTTCAACAATTTATCCAATAAGAAAAATCTGATCTTTTTCAATTAGCAAATGCAATAGATTCAAACAAACTTAATTTGTCACATGATTGTTTAAGTGTTGGTATTTTTCTATATTTCACTATAAGATTTTTTGGTTCGGTATGTAGTATTTTCTTTGACAGAATAAACTATATAAAAATAAGGAGATGTGGTATGATAAAAAAAAGTTTAACAAAAATACTGAACTCTAAGGCAAATTCAAAATGAGAAAATCTATAACAACAGACAAAATCAAACGCTATTAATCAACGGAACAAGTGAACAACAACTGCCATATTCCTGACTTGGTACAGGCAATTTCCGAAGAAAATGGTGGATTAAACCTGGTTTTATAACTAGCTAAACCGCCCACTTGTATGACAGTTGCGTTATATTGACAAAATGTGGGTTAGCAACCCAGACAGACATAGAAGGTTAATGTGACAATAATTGGGATCCAGCAGTCAAAACTGTGTAAATATACATCACAGACGTACAACAAAACTGACTTAAAAACACACCAAAAACAGTTGTAGTAAATAGTAATATTTCAATATATGTGGCAAGACCAAAATTTTGCACGCCGGACGCACGCCTCGTCTTGATTGCCAATAAGACAAATATCCAGCAATAATCAAATAAAGTTGATGCAAGCAATTATAGGCAAACATACAGCTTTCAACAATGAGAAAAGCACATATCGTATAGTCGGCCATAAAGGCCCTACATGTACATGACAAAATATAAAACAAGTCAATTAAAAAACTAACGGCATAATTTTTTACAAACCAATTAACGAAAAACAAAGATGCTAGACATGAGCCAATGACAACCACTGAACTACACGCTATTGGCTTGGGACTATGTTGATGTTACCCTCAATTTGTCCGTGCAAATATTTGACAGTATATCTATGTTGATTTAACCCACAATTCTTCCATGCATATATTTGATTTTAACCACATCTCCTCCATTCATATATTTTATTTTACCCACAATTCTTCCTTGCATATATTTGAAATAATCGACATCTTACCAAGGACGTTATTGAGATAATAGTTAGTGGTAAACTTTGCGTGCACTAATCCTCTATAGCGAAGAACCTCAACAAAAGCACTGTTCATGTACATGTTTTATGGGTTTTCACAGGATCAAATCAATGCAGCTTATCCTTTTTATATACAAAAAATATAAAAACATTGAAATACAGCCAAATGTAAGGACGTGTGGCTAGGAACATAACCGTACAAAAACGTTACACAATAACTTGAGTGCATGCAATAGGATGCCGAAAAAACAATAGATCTGTTGTATTATTACAAAGATTCTAGACTTTAAACAGGTCGTCTACATTTTACTTTAACAAGTGTTAAGTAAAGTTCTGAAGGACATCATCAATCTGTATACGTACATAAAGGTATAAAACATGAGCGTCAGTGAAAAGACAGTAATTGTCGAAATGCGCATTATTACAATGAAATGGGCACTGCTAAAGTCATTGTGTACATAAACTTGATGTTATAAGCCATGGGCCAGTCAATTTACATTCCCAAACAAATTTGACAATGTCAGGCGAATTCAAACTTTTAATATCTAAAGTAGATATTTGCTTTTTCTCGTGTTCGAACACGTATTTTTATCGTAAAATAACAGAATCAAACATTGTTATACAAGTATGGCAAAATTTTTTTCAATTCAGTACACACTGTAGTCATTTCCAAAAGTTTTCTAATTTCAACATGCTTAACTTAAAGTAACAATGCGACAGCTGTGTGCAATATCAAGTTCAAACAATGATTTGGTGTATTTATCAATATTGAGCCTAATTTCAATGGAAGTAAAGAAAGGCGAAAGATACCAAATGAACATTCAAACTCATCAGTTGAAATTGGAAGGAATACATTACTGGGTAATGTTGTCCCTTAATGCACAATTTTACATAAACATATAAAATGTGCGATATTGTATCAAATAGTCTTCAAAAACAAAGTGATTAACATTTCAATTGTATGGATAAGTGAAAATAATTTAAACTCAGTTAAATGTGTGTTTTTTTTAGACTCATTGGTGTACAAATTCCTGAAAGTGTCAATGACCTCTGGAATAGATCGTGCTATATGAAGGAATTCAGGAGGAGGGGGGGTACATTTTAATTGGCGTTTACTCTTTTGAAGATGTGAATAAATCTCATAACTAAGCATCCTGTTTTATCAACAAGATTTGAAAATACCAAACTGAAAATTGTAAACAGACATATGATCATAGATGTTTTGTCGCTAGGTTTCCGTCTCATTGTCGTTTATACAACATCTTTTTTATATACATCGACAGAAAAGACCATTAGACAAAACCAGACTGTAACAAATGAAAAACGACAAATTTGAGATTTCCAAAAAAGATTAGCTAAACCTTTACAAATTAATGTGTCATTTCTTTCAGTTTTTATTAATTAATTGTAAGTTTGATGGCAGATTTTTTATAGTTTCTGTGAAATTTTTGGACAACTTGTTTACAATACGGGATGATTTACAGTTTGATATAGTGTATATATATATAAATATATACTTTTTACATCATGTCATCCAAAACATACTAGAGTCAATATACCATATAACCTAGCTAAACGTATATGTACTATCTTTTCAAATCCAGAATTAAGGAATAGAAGATTAAATGAATTAAGATACATGCTCTTGGACCGAAAATATCCGAAGATAATAATTGATGACGGAATAACTAGAGCCAAATCTTTTAGCTTACAGGAATTACAGAAAACTAAATCACATTCAAAAGAAAACGTTTTATCGTACATTTCTACTCACAACCCCAGAAATAATGAAGCTTTCAACACTATACATAACAATTTACCATTTTTACAGAGCGACCAGAGGATGTTGAAATTATTTAATTCACACAAAGTAATTAAAAGCAAACGGCAACCGAAATCATTAAAAAAATTGTTGCCCCGCGCAACATTCAAAACTGAAAATAGTCAACCAAAGGTACAAAAATGTGGACGACCAAACTGTGAATCTTGTTTATACTTATCCGAAGGAACAGAATTCGTTTTTAAATCAGGACACATTTTTAAAATCAAGAACAGTTTTACATGTGTATCGGAAAATCTTCTATACATCATCACTTGCAGTGGTTGTCAAGAAAATTATATTGGACAAACCGGCAATACCATTAGAAAACGAATGACAGTACGTAGACAGCAAAATCGAGTCCCGAGCACAAGAAAAATCCCACTTAGCAAACATATTGATAGATGCGCTGGATCAAATCGTCCAAATTTCTCCATTTTTCCATTTTATCAGTGTTCAGATAATACAACGGAACCAATGAAAATTAATAAAGAAAATTATTTTATTAAGAAATACCGTCCTAAATTAAATAGATGAAATGAGAATCTGTAAGGCATTTCTTTATAATTATGTACTTCCACTTTCGTTTTAAGTACCTACGTTGTGCTATATTATTACGTTCAGGACTAAATAATAATGTCGCTAATAGACGTTACCCCTGACGACGTCGCCAGCAACCATATCCTTGAAGATCTGTTAAACAGTGAAACCGGTAGGATACTATGGAGAACATGTTTGAACAATTTGTTGTTGTAATAGACAAAATGTGAATATTCATATTGAATATAAAAATTTGGTGCATTTTCAGCCTTATTTTTTTCTCTTTTTTTTTCTTATATTTGAAGACGATATATTAACCTTTAAATGTCTTTTTGTTAATTGGTGTTGTCAGGTTTCAGTCTTATTGGTGTATATCAAAAACTCCAATTTTCAATTAAACATGCTAGAGCATTAAACAATAAAACACATGCGAACAAAGTTTAATCTTTATTTTTGTGACATAAAAAATAAATAAATCATAAGGAAAATTAGAACAATTTTATCAAATGTTCATTTTTAAATAGTCCGGAACTCGGTCAGTTATGTTTTAGCGTTTTCCACCATGTCCGCCATTCCCACCATCCCAACGACCACCATTTCCTCCTCTCCCTCCATACCGACCGCTTCCTCCGTTCCAACCATCCCAACGACCACCGTTTCCTCCTCTCCTTCTATACCAACCGCTTCCTCCATTCCCACCATTCCATGTACCACCATTTCCACCTGTCCCATCATTTCCACCATTTCCTCCATTCCCACCATTCCAAGTACCACCGTTTCCACCATTTCCAGGTCTGGAGTTCCAATCAGGTTTTGGTTTTGGTCCTTGAAAATAAAATGCATGATAATGTATTTAAGTAATGAGTCAAAAGAAATCAATTCGTAGGAAATTAGAATTGTTAATTAAATTACAATATATATGCTAGTGATGTCAAGTATTTATATGAAGCAAAATTCTTACAAAACCTTCTCAAAGACAAAAGGAATTCTTTGATTTACGTTCAGATATAGTGGTGAAGTCCTGAAAAAAAATCTTGCATTTCAAGGAGTTGTTCTATAAAATTTATTCCGAGTTAACTTTACTGACATTAAGGATACTACTGATAATAGTAGGTCATATCTTGAAATATTTTTAAAAATAAACACAGAGGGACGACTTCAAACTGAATCTATGACAAAATTCAATTCAGTTACTTATTTCAAATGTCCATCTATAAGTAGTAACATATATTAATCTCAATCGTGAGAAAAAATTTTGATATCTCAATTGGTGCTTTATGTACGTGCATGTTAAAAAATACTAACTATATTATTATCATTATGGTACTGTGAAAGCTTTTGCATAATTCCTAGAGGCTTCTACAAAACTGATATGTTATAGCCATAAAAAGAGCTTTTAAAAAGATAATTAATGTACATAGACTTTAGTTTGAAACGCGCAAGGCTACATCAAAAAAGTATTACAAAAACATCGAAATCCAAAGCAAATTCAAAACGGGGAAGTCCATAACAACTACCAAAATCAAACGCTATCAATCATCGCAATAAGTCAAAAAGTTAAATTCAAACGTCGTTTTATCTCATCAACTCCAAATCTGTACATATAATAATGTTAAATATAAGCTCCTCAATATAATAAAATAAATATGAGATACGACTTCTAAAATAATTTGAACCTCATTTAAGATACTAATTGATATGATTTACTTACGCCTATACCAAGTTCCAGAAACTGATACAACCAGACATACGACTAAGATGATAGAAAGCTTCATTTTCTTCAATTTTCTACCTTTAGAGAGGAGTACAGATGTTTTATAGTCTTGATGAGGACATACAAACACGGATATAAGTAAGACAACGGGATGTGTTTTGATTTATATGAATAGTTTATGTCTATCATAGCAAGATTTCCGATACTTGAGCACAATGATTGTTTTGTAGGTTGTACAATAAGAAGAAATGATTGGTAAATGGGTACAAGCTTTTATTATATTTTATTACGTATAAGGAAAAAAGTAAAATAAACAGAATAGGAAGTTCATAATTGGCAAGGATTCGTGGTGTCTTATAGCTTTATATAATTGCAAACCTCTACAAAAACAATCTGAACATATATACCAGGCTTACATTTTGTACGTCAGACGCGACTTTAGTAAATTTGATTTAATAAAGATTTCGAGTTACGTTTTTTTCAATTTTTCTCACAACCATTTCAGACAAGATGTCATAAAAAAATAAGGCACTATCTCAAATAAAAGAAATTATAAAACAAAATATTATCGATAAGTTTTATTTTGCTAACTTATTTTATTGTTTTACGATAGACAATTATGACAATAGTAAAAAAAAAAAAAAATAAATGAATGTGGTTATTACGACATAGGATGTTGTTTTAACTATATATAAATGTTGTAATTGTAATGCTTAAATAATAGAATTGTTTACCATTTAAATACTCTGCTGGTGGACTATCAGTCCCCGAGGGTATCACCAGCCCAGTAGTCAGTCCTTCAGTACTAACATGATTTATAACAAACCTTTATAAAATAGTCCGTTAATAAATTTTGAAATTATTAGAAACTAAAGGTTTCAACTCCCGCAGGCAAAGTTAACTTTAGATGGATTTGGCTATTTTTATGTCCTTTTCTGGTAATATAGCTCTTCAACTGTTTCGGTTCTGATAAATCCTTGGCTTTCAAATATTCGGCTTTGAGCGTTCTTGATGAAGGTAGATCCAGAAAAGCGCCTCGGACGCATGTGATGTATAAGTGTTGTTTTCATTTTTTATTAGATAAGTAACTGTATTAATGAATTAATATGTCATTATAGATTTTTACGTTGAAAATCTTCTCAAAGATAACATAATTTTAATTTTGTTTGCGAGAAGCGCGTTTCAACTGAAATCAGTGGCGCTGATTCAAATAAGTTAGAATGCAAAATATGTTTTTTTAATTTTATTAATTTAATCCTCTGAACATTTAAAGGTTCACATTTTGTATTTTGTGTACCTTAACTACTCAGAGTCGGTCAAATATAGTTTCATTCTTGCTTCTAGAAAGTGTTACAAAATTTAAGTAAAATTCAATGTTTGACTAGGTAATAATCGTAAACGTGTGTGGCAAGGCATAGCGAAAAAGGAATAAATTTTTCACTAAGTGTAAACTATTCTTTGGATTATTAAGATACATAAGGTGTGTTTGATGGTCATTTCAATTTGCTTTTCCTCTTTCTACACTCCATTTCCACAGAACATCAGTTAGAAATAGTGTTCGTATTTAATTAAAGACTTTTGAAACATCGCTTGTAAAATGTTTGCTGCAACTTACATAAATATAAAAATAAGAAGATGTGGTATGATTGCCAATGAGACAACTCTCCACAAGAGACCAAAAGACACAGAAATTAACAACTATAGGACAAAGCCTTTTTTCGAAAGTAAATATGCTATATGACTATTTACAAATGACACTGTCAGAGAACAAATTTAGTGAATATCTTTATAGACCACCAAAAAAATTTTCAGAAAAAATATTAATAATTCGTTTAAAGTCTTTAATTAAACGTGAATTTTTGGTTGAGTTTTTGTTTTCATTTTATCCGTCTGTCTGCCCGTCGGTCAGTTGAAAATTTAAAGACTATTCGTTCTATTCAGATATACAATGATATCTTCTTTAAATTTAATTTCCACGTTAGGCTTGGTAAACGCTTTAAAATTAGTCAATAAAAAATGGGGTCACCGACCTCGAATACGATTTAATACGTCATCTTTTTCATAAAATTTGAAATCGGGACTTGTTGATATCAACAGTGTTATATTTCATAAGAAGTCTTGTGAAATGATTTTTATTGATGTGCATTCGTCTGTTATTCGTCGTTCAAATACTGAAGATGAAAGTTTGTTAACCGATACATTAAAATTGTGCTCCAGATACCTGAAAATTTGGTCGCCATTTCACAAGCGTTCTAATTGAAAAAAAACCCGGAATTTAAGTAAAAAAAAGCACATTGTGTTTTCAAAGATCGTTTATTTATCTATATAGATTTTACATGTTTGTGTCGTTGGCTTACTGTAATGTTGGCGTTAATTCGAAATTTATTATTTTATACGTGTAGAAATGTAGGCGCCATACACTTACAATACTTCTGTAGTTTATTTCTGTCCGCACTTTACACACTGGTGCCATGTGATCGTTCACTACAAGTGTATGTAGCATGTTTCTGTCCTCACTTTACAACCTTGTACCATGTGATCGTTCACTACAAGTGTATGTAACATATTTCTGTCCACACTTTTACTCACTGGTACCATTTGATCGTTCACTACAAGTGCATGTAGCATGTTTCATTGGTTTTCAAATGGCAAATGCAATAGATTCAAACAAGCTTAATTTGTGACATAATTATTTAAGTGTTAGTATTTTTCTGTATTTTACTATGGGATTTTTGGTTCGGTATGTAGTATTTTCTTTGACTGTATAAACAATATATAAATAAGGAGATGTGGTATGATAAAAAAAGTATAACAAAAATACTGAACTCCAAGGCAAATTCAAAAAGAGAAAATATATAACAACAGAAAAAATCAAACGCAATCAATCAACGGAACAAGTGAACAACAACTCTGCCATATTCCTGACTTGGTACAGGCAATTTCCGAAGAAAATGGTGAATTAAACCTGGTTTTATAACTAGCTAAACCGCCCACTTGTATGACAGTTGCGTTATATTGGCAAAATGTGGGTTAGCAACTCAGACAGACATAGAAGGTTAATGTGAGAATAATTGGGATCCAGCAGTCAAAACTGTGTAAATATACATCACAAACGTACAACACAACTGACTTAAAAAGACGCCATAAAAAAGTTGTAGTAAATAGTAATATTTCTATATATGTGGCAAGACCAAAAGTTTGCACGCCAGACGCGCGCCTCGTCAAGATTGAATCAGTTCATCTACTTTATACTGTAATACGTGTAAGTAAAGTTCTGAAGGACATCATCAATCTGTATACGTACATAAAGGTATAAAACATGAGCGTCAGTGAAAAGACAGTAATTGTCGAAATGCACATTATTACAATGAAATGGGCACTGCTAATGTCATCGTGTACATAAACGTGATGTGATAAGCCATGGGCCAGTCAATTTACATTCCCAAACAGATTTGCCAATGTCAGGCGAAGTCAAACTTTTAATATTTAAAGTAGATATTTGCTTTTCGTCGAGTTCGAACACGTATTTTTATCGTAAAATAACAGATTTAAACATTGTTGTACACGTATGGCTAAATTGTATTCAATTCAGTTCACAATGCAGCCATTTCCAAAAGTTTTCCAATTTCAACATGTTTAACTTAAAGTAACAATGCGACAGCTGTGTGCAATATCAGGTTCAAACAATGATTTGGTGTATTTATCAATATTGAGCCAAATTTCATTAGAAATAAAGCTTTGTTTTAAAAGAGAGGCGAAAAACAGCAAATGAACATTCAAACTCATAAGTCGAAATAGGAAGAAATACATTACTGGATAATGTTGGCCTTTAATGCAAAATTTTATAAATAGTGCGATATTGTATCAAAATAGTCTTCACTAACAAAGTAGAGCGGTGAGTAACATTTCGATTGTATGAATAAGTGAAAATAATTCAAACTCAGTTGAATGTGTGTTTTTTAGACTCATTGGCATACAAGTTCCTGAAAGTCTATGAATAGACCGTGCTACGTGAAGGAATTCAGTGTTACATTTTAATTGGCGTTTACTCTTTCGAAGATTTGAATAAATCTCATAACTAAGCATCCTGTTTTATCAACAAGATTTGAAAATACCAAACAGAAAAGTGTAAACAGACATATGATCATACATGTTTTGTCACTAGGTTTTCATCTCATTGATGTACATACCACATCTTTTGTATATCAACAGAAAAGACCAGTAGACTAAACCAGACTGTAACAAATGAAAAACGACAAATTTGAGATTTCGAAAAAGATTAGCTAAACCTTAACAAATTATTTTGTCATTTCTTTCAGTTTTTATTGGTTAATTGTAAGTTGATGGCAGACGTTTTTTAGTTTCTGTGAAATTTGTGGACAATTTTTTTACAATAAGGGTAGATTTACAGTTTGAAGTAGTGTATACATATATATATAAATATAAACAAGTCTACATTGAAAACAACGTTCACACCTATGCTTGCGTTGGATAAAAACCACAATTTTTATACGTGTGCATGCAAAACAAATTTCTTGATAGAGGAGTCTAAATACAGCACAAACAAAATTTTCCAAAAGACCAAAAAGTAAAAAAGTATATTTTAACAAAACGCATTTGACTAACAGGTCGAACAACAGATGTTCTTAAACCCTGCTGACTGCCAATGGCGATTGCCAAATAAACGGATCACAAGATGTTACAAAATGGATCTTTTAAAATTATTAATTAATACCAAACAGAAAACAATAAACTTGCGGAAAAGATGGTATACCGCAAACAAAAGGTGCAAAAATTAGTACACCATATCCGGATTTCGACAATTAATGTCTTTTCAGTGATAATAGGGATCAAAACGGTATTTGGAAGGCCATATATTTCCCTCAATTTAGGATAGACTCTTGGATTTTGAAGAATCGAAATATTACAAATAGGATGAACGGATCATATAAACCCGAAGGAAAATATAATACAAGCCCAAACGAAAAAATATAAACAAGTCTAAATTGAAAACAACGTTCAAACCTATGATTGCGTTGGATAAAAACCGCAATTTTTATACGTGTGCATGCAAAACAAATTTCTTGGTAGAGGAGTCTAAATACAGCAAAAACAACATTTTCCAAAAGACCAAAAAAGTGAGAAAGTATATTTTAACAAAACGCATTTGACTAACAGGTCGAACAACAGATGTTATATATAAATATATATAAGTCTAAATTGAAAACAACGTTCAAACCTATATATATATATATATATATATATATATATATATATATATATGCGGTTTGTTAAAATATACTTTTTCACTTTTGGTCTGTAGGAAAATGTTGTTTGTGCTGTATTTAACCCCTGTAGCAAGAAATTTGTTATAAAAATTGCGGTTTCTATCCAACGCAATCATAGGTTTGAACATTGTTTTCAATTCAGACTTGTTTATATATATTTATATTGTTGAAGACGCTATATTAACCTTTAAATGTATTTTTGTTCATTGGTGTTGTCAGGTTTTGTCTTATTGGTATATATCTCTAACTCTAATTTTCAATAAAACATGTTAGAGCATTAAACAATAAAAACACATGCGAACAAAGTTTAATCTATATTTTTGTGACAGAAGAATTTTGTCACATGTTCATATCGGACCTCGGTAAGTTATATTTTAGCGTTTTCCACCATGTCTGCCATTCCCACCATTCCAACGACCACCGTTTCCACCTCTCCCATAATTCCAACCGTTTCCACCATTTCCACCTTTCCAATTACCACCATTTCCACCACTCCCATAATTCCAACCGTTTCCTCCATTCCCCTCCTCCAAGTACCACCATTTCCACCTGTCCCACCATTTCCTCCATTCCCCCCATTCCAAGTACCACCGTTTCCACCATTTCCAGGTCTAGTGTTTCAAGTAGGTTGAGGTTTTGGTCCTTGAAAATAAAACGCATGACAATGTATTTAGGTGATGAGTCCAAAGTAATTGATTTTTCGGAAATTAAAATTGTTATATAATTACAATAAATATGCTAGCTGTATCAAGTATTTATATGAAGCAACATTCTTACAAAACCTTCTCAAAGACAAAAGGAATTTTTTAATTTACGTTCAGATATAGTGGTGAAGTCCTGAAAAAAATAAACAGCATTTAAAGGAGTTGTTCCATAAAATCTATTCCGAGTTAACTTTACTGACATTAAGGATACTACTGATAATAGTAGGTCATATCTTGAAATATTTTTAGAAATAAACACAGAGGGATGACTTCAAACTGAATCTATGACAAAATTGAATTCAGTTTCTTACTTCAATCTTTTAGTAGTAACATATCTTAGTCCCAATCGTGCGAAATTTTTATATCTCAATTAGTGCTTTGCGCACGTGCATGTGAAACAATACGAACTATATTATTATCATTATCGTACTGGGAAAGCTTTTGCAACATTCGGAGAGGTTTCTTCAACACTGATCATTTAGAGTCATAAAGAAAGCTTTCAAAAATTAATAAGATATGAGTACATCTTATCACAAGAAATACCATTTAATCTGAAAAAGCTACATTGTGACGATGTCATCATATGTATCGTGCCGTCTTCAAAGTTGATTTCAAACATCGTTATATCTCATCAACACCAAAATATAATCATATTCATTAACAGATTTTATCGACAAAAAGTAAAATTGTTTATGTTATATTTTTTGTATTTTAAGCTTTTGATACATCGGAATTCAAAATAGTACGCTTAATTGGCAAATAAATAAGAATAAGAATAATATAAACTGCATTTAGAATAAAACACATGAAGAAATAAATACTGATGGCTATATATTAATTAAATCGAAATGCCATCTACCAGATCTGTTCATGGAATATTTTGAAATAAAAACTCCTCAGTATAATGAAATACATAAGAAATAGGACTTCTGAAATCATGTGAACAACATAAATAATAATTGATATGCGTACGCCTATTCCAAGTTCTAGAAACTGATACAACCAGACAGACCGCCGATAAGATGATAGAAAGCTTCATTTTCTTCTAAATTTCTACCTTGAGAGAGGGGTATAGATGTTTTATAGTCTTGATGTGGACATACAAACACGGATATAAGTAAGGCAACGGGATGTGTTTCAATTGATATGAATAGTTTACGTCAGTCATGTGCAGATGTCCGATACTTGAGCACACAATGATTGTTTTGTAGGTTGTAAAATAAGACGAAATGATCGCTGAATGGGTACAAGTTTTTATTATACTTTGTTATGTATGAGGAAAAAGTAAAATAAACAGTAAAGGAAATTCATAATTGTCAAGGATTCGGAGTGACTTATAGCTTTATTATACTTGAAAATCTATACAGGAAACAAACTCAATATAACTACCTGGCTTAACATTTTGTACGTCAGACTCGCCTTTAGTAAAATAAAGAGTTGCTTTTTTTTTCACTTTTTCTCACAACCATTTCAGATGTCATAATTAAATAAGGCATTATCAAATAAAACAAGTTATAGCAAAATCTTATCGATAACTTTTATTATGTTAACTTTTTTTATTATTTTACGGTAGACAATTAGGACAGTAGTGAAAAAAAATTTATGTGGTTAATGCGATATAGGATGGTGTGTTAACGATATATAAATCAGGTATTTATAATGCTTAAATAAGGAATTGTTTGCCATTTAAATACACATGTTAATAAATAAGTTATTATATAAAAGTCATAAGAAACTTCAAATTTAAAAAAAAAGTTCCAGAAACTGATACAACCAGACAGACCGCTCAGATGATAGAAAGCTTTATTTTCCTCTAAATTTCTAAATTTAAATCTATTTTTTTCAACTGTCCACCGAAGTTCAAATGAAGTGGATGTAAGCAATTATAGGCAACCGTACGGACTTCAACACTGAGAAAAATCCATACCGTATAGTCATCAGAAATATTTGTAAGGAAGGTCATCATCAACATTAACCAATTTATATTGGAAGTACCTATATACACGATATACATAAAGTATTTTTTTCATTTAATACTGTCTTCAATAGCAAACATGGAGCAATGAATAGCTTTTTGACTTAATGGATATGTGAAATTGTTGAGAAAAAAAAATGTTTTAAAATGTATTACATAGACTCTTCAACATCTGAATTCGAGTTAGTTTTAACAACTTTCTAATGTTGTCTATGTGAGTTCAACAAACTTGCATTGGGAAAACTGGTGTTATCTCTCTCGGGGGGAAACTGGTATCACCTCTTTGGTGAAAATAATTACCCATTAAGTCCCATTTACCAGGCATAAACCGATTCCGACTTTGTCCGCCTTTGCCAGTTGTTACAATAGTAAAGGACCGGAAACTCAAAAATGGTACATAGTTTTCATATATGTATCATCATTTTGGCAAACAACAAGAGTGTAATATCAAACCCCACTCCCATACGAAGTTAAGAACATCTAGCTTTTGTTAGCGTTGTGTGGTTCATTTATGTGTTTTGGAGTTTTGTGTGGCGTCCATTTCGCTTAACCAGTATACTTTATTGTTTATGGGCCAGCAGAATCCCGCCTGCGGGTGGGGGAATTTCTCGCTGCGTTGAAGACCCATTGGTGGCTTTGGGCCGTTTTCTGCTCTTAGTATTATTGTTATATAAAGGAATGTCACTGTAAATGTTATTTTATACTTGAAGCAAGAAACAAGTGGATGACTTAATTTTTTTCTTTTTTCGTTTTTAAAGCATATTATAAAACCTATCTACTCATATCTTATTTCAAAATTCTATCTCATAGATTTATTTTTATTCACAAAAAAGTGATGCTCGACTTGTAGCTTGAAAAATAGCACGGTGACCCATACTTTTTATTGTATTTAAAAAAAACCTTGATAAATCTACATTTTGGCAATGTATAAGAAACGTCTATTTAAGGAAATATAAAGTGATGATCCACCTTAATTTGGAATATAAAATCATCACATCAAATAAGACATTACTGTACTAAAAATTGTAAAAAATAATTCCCACATAAACTGATATATATAAATTGTTGAAGACGATATATTAACCTTTAAATGTCTTTTTGTTCATTGGTGTAGTCAGGTTTCTGTCTTATTGGTGTATATCCCATATTCCACTTTTCAATAAAACATGTTAGAGCATTAAACAATATAAACACATAAGAACAAAGTTTTATCTATATTTTAAATATATATAAGATAGATAAATCATCATGAAAATTAGCATAATTTTGTCACATGTTCATTATTCCTTAGTCCGGATCTCGGTCATTTATATTTTAGCGTTTTCCACCATGTCCGCCATTCCCACCATTCCAATGACCACCGTTTCCTCCTCTCCCTCCATATCGACTGTTTCCTCCATTCCCACCATTCCAACGACCACCGTTTCCTCCTCTCCCTCCATATCGACTGTTTCCTCCATTCCCACCATTCCAACGACCACCATTTCCACCTGTCCCATCATTTCCACCGTTTCCTCCATTCCCACCTTTCCAAGTACCACCATGTCCACCATTACCAGGTCTGGAGTTCCAATCAGGTTTTGGTTTTGGTCCTTGAAAATAAAATGCATGATAATGTAATTAAGTGATGAGTCAAAAGTAATCGATTCGTAGGAAATTGAAATTGTTAATTAATTACAATATATATGCTAGTGATGTGAAGTATTTATATGAAGCAACATTCTTACAAAACCTTCTCAAAGACAAAAGGAATTTTTTAATTTACGTTCAGATATAGTGGTGAAGTCCTCAAAAAACCCTTGCATTTCAAGGAGTTGCTCTATAAAATTTATTCCGAGTTAACTTTACTGACATTAAGGATACTACTGATAATAGTAGGTTATATCTTAAAATATTTTTAAAAATAAACACAGAGGGACGACTTCAACCTGAATCTATGACAAAATTCAATTCAGTTACTTATTTCAACTTTCCATCTATAAGTAGTAACATATCTTAGTCTCAATCGTGAGAAAAAATTTTGATATCTCAATTTGTGCTTTATGTACGTGCATGTTTAAAAATACGAACTATATTATTATCATTATGGTACTGTGAAAGCTTTTGCATCATTCCTAGAGGCTTCTACAAAACTGATATGTTATAGCCATAAAAAGAGCTTTTAAAAAGATAATTAATGTGCATAGACTTTAGTTTGAAACGCGCAAGGCTACATCAAAAAAGTATTACAAAAACATCGAAATTCAAAGCAAATTCAAAACGGGGAAGTCCATAACAACTACCAAAATCAAACGCTATCAATCATCGCAATAAGTCAAAAAGTTAAATTCAAACGTCGTTTTATCTCATCAACACCAAATCTGTACATATAATATTATTAAATATAAGCTCCTCAATATAATAAAATAGATTTGAGATACGACTTCTAAAATAATGTGAACCTCATTTAAGATACTAATTGATATGATTTACTTACGCCTATACAAAGTTCCAGAAACTGATACAACTAGACATACGACTAAGATGATAGAAAGCTTCATTTTCTTCAAATTTCTACCTTGAGAGAGGGGTACGATGTTTTATAGTCTTGATGAGGACATAAAAACACGGATATTAGTAAGGCAACGGGATGTGTTGTGATTTATATGAATAGTTTATGTCAGTCATGGCAAGATTTCCGATACTTGAGCACAATGATTGTTTTGTAGGTTGTACATGTTGTACAATAAGAAGAAATGATTGGTAAATGGTTACAAGCTTTTATTATATTTTGCAACGTATAAGGAAAAAAGTTAAATAAACGGAATAGGAAGTTCATAATTGGCAAGTATTCAGTATGTCTTATAACTTTAATATAATTACAAACCTATACAGAAACAATCTGAACATATATACCAGGCTAACATTTTGTACGTGAGACGCGACTTTAGTAAATTTGACTTAATAAAGATCTCGAGTTACTTTTTTTCACTTTTTCTAACAACCATTTCAGACAAGATGTCAAAAAAAATAAGGCACTATCTCAAATAAAAGAAGTTATAAAACAAAATCTTTTCGATAAGTTTTATTATGCTAACTTATTTTATTGTTTTACGATAGACAATTATGACAATAGTAAAGAAAAAAAAATAAATGAATGAATGCGGTTATTACATGTACGACATAGGATGTTGTTTTAACTATATATAAATGTTGTAATTGTAATGTTTAAATAATAGAATTGTTTGCCATTTAAATACTCTGCTGGTGGACTATCAGTCCCCGAGGGCATCATCAGCCTAGTAGTCAGTCCTTTAGTACTGACATGATTTATAACAAACCTTTCTAAAATTGTTCGTTCATAAATTTTGAAATTATTAGAAACAAAGGTTTGAACTCCCTCAGGCAAAGTTGACCTTAGATGGATTTGGTTATTGTAGGTCCTTTTTGGTAATATTGCTCTTCAAATGTTTCGGTTCTTATAAATCCTTGGCTTTCAAATATTCGGCTTTGAGCGTTCTTGATGAGGGTAGATCCAGAAAAGCGCCTCGGACGCATGTGATGTATAAGTGTTGTTTTCATTTTTTAATAGATAAGTAACTGTATTAATGAATTAATTGGTCATTATAGATTTTTACGTTGAAAATCTTCTCAAAGATAACATAATTTTAATTTTGTTTGCGAGAAGCGCGTTTAAACTGAAATCAGTGGCGCTTATTCAAATAAGTTAGAAAGCAAAATATGTTTTTTTAATTTTATTAATTTAATCCTCTGAACATTTAAAGGTTCACATTTTGTATTTTGTGTACCTTAACTACACACAGTCGGTCAAATATAGTTTCATTCTTGCTTCTAGAAAGTGTTACAAAATTTAAGTAAAATTCAATGTTTAACTAGGTAATAATCGTAAACGTGTGTGGCAAGGCATAGCGAAAAAGGAATAAATTGTTCACTGAGTGTAAACTATTCTTTGGATTATTAAGATACATAAGGTATGTTTGATTGTCATTTCAATTTGATTTTCCTCTTTCTACACTCCATTTCCACAGAACCTCAATTAGAAAAAGTGTTCGTATTTAATTAAAGACTTTTGAAACATCGCTTGTAAAATGTTTGCTGCAACTTACACAAATATAAAAATATGATTGCCAATGAGACAACTCTCCACAAGAGACCAAATGACACAGAAATTAACAACTATAGGACAAAGCCTTTTTACGAAAGTAAATATGCTATATGACTATTTACAAATGACACTGTCAGAGAACAAATTTAGTGATTATCTTTATAGACCACCAAAAACGTTTTTAGAAAAAATATTATTAATTCGTTTAAAGTCTTTAATTAACCGTGAATTCTTGGTTGAGTTTTTGTTTTCATTTTATCCATCTGTCTGCCCGTCGGTCAGTTGAAAATTTATAAACTATTCGTTCTATTCAGATATACAATGATATCTTCTTTAAATTTAATTTCCACTTTAGGCTTGGTAAACGCTTTAAAATTAGTCAATAAAAAATGGGGTCACCGACCTCGAATACGATTTAATACGTCATCTTTTTCATAAAATTTGAAATCGGGACTTGTTGATATCAACAGTGTTATATTTTATAAGAAGTCTTGTGAAATGATTTTTATTGATGTGCATTCGTCTGTTATTCCTCATTCCGACAAATACTGAATATGAAAGTTTTTTAACCGATACATTAAAATTGTGCACCAGATACCTGAAAATTGGATGTCGAACGTCTATCGTCGCCATTTCACAAGCGTTCTTATTGAAAAAAAACCGGAATTTAAGTTAAAAAAAAAGCACACTGTGTTTTCGAAGATCGTTTATTTATCTATATAGATGTACATAGATTTTACATGTTTGTGTCGTTGGCTTACTGTAATGTTGGCGTTAATTCGAAATTTATTATTTTATACGTGTAGAAATGTAGGCGCCATACATATACAATACTTCTGTAATTTATTTCTGTCCACACTTTACACACTGGTGCCAATGTGATCGTTCACTACAAGTGTATGTAGCATGTTTCTTTCCTCACTTTACAACCTTGTACTATGTGATCGTTCACTACAAGTGTATGTAGCGTGTTTCTGTCCACACTTTACACACAGATACCATTTGATCGTTCACTACAAGTACATGTAGCATGTTTCATTGGTTTTCAAATGGCAAATGCAATAGATTCAAACAAACTTAATCTGTCACATGATTATTTAAGTGTTAGTATTTTTCTGTATTTTACTATGAGATTTTTGGTTCGGTATGTAGTATTTTCTTTGACTGTATAAACTATATATAAATAAGGAGATATGGTTTGATAAAAAAGTATAACAAAAATACTGAACTCTAAGGCAAATTCAAAAAGAGAAAATCTATATCAATCAACGGAACAAATGGACAACAACTCTGCCATATTCCTGACTTGGTACAGGCAATTTCCGAAGAAAATGGTGGATTAAACCTGGTTTTATAGCTAGGTAAACCACCCACTTGTATGACAGTTGCGTTATATTGGCAAAATGTGGGTTAGCAACTCAGACGACATAGTAGATTAATTTGACAATAATTGGGACCCAGCGGCCAAAACTGTGTAAATATACATCACAAACGTACAACACAACTCACTTAAAAAGACGCCAAAAAAAAAGTTGTAGTAAATAGTAATATTTTTATATATGTGGCAAGACCAAAAGTTTGCACTCCAGACGCGCGCCTCGTCTTGATTGCCATTTAGACATCTACGCACCATACATCAAATGAAGTGAATGTAAGCAATTATAGGCAAACTTACAGCCTTCAACAATGAGAAAAACACATACTGTATAGTCAGACATGAAAGGCCCTACATGAAAAATATAAAACTAGTCAATTAAGAAAACTAACGGCATAATTTGTAACAAAACCATTAACGAAAAACAAATATGATAGACATGAGACAATGACAACCACTGAACTACACGCTACTGACTTGGGACTATGTTGATGTTACCCTTAATTCGTCCTTGCAAATATTTGAAAGTATATCTATGTTGATTTTACCCACAATTCTTCCCATGCATATATTTGATTTTAACCACAACTCTTCCATGCATATATTTGAAATAATCGACATCTACCCAAGAACGTTATTGAGGTAATAGTTAGGGGTAAACTTTGCGTGCAAAAAAATCCTGAATGACGAAGAACCTCAACACAAACACTGTTCATGTACATATCATATGGGTTTTGGAGCAAATCAATGCAGCTTATCCTTCTTATATACAAAAAAAAAATTAAAAACATTGAAATACAGCCAAATGTAAGGACGTGTGGCTAGAAACATAACCATACAAAAACGTTACACAATAACTTGAGTGCATGCAATATGTCGCCGGAAAAGCAAAAGATCTGTTGTATCATTACAAAGATTCTTGACTTTAAAAAGTTCATCTACATTTCACTGTAATAAGTGTGAGTAAAGTTCTGAAGGACATCATCAATCTGTATACGTACATAAAGGTATAAAACATGAGCGTCAGTGAAAAGACATTAATTGTCGAAATGCGCATTATTGCAATGAAATGGGCACTGCTAATGTCATCGTGTACATAAACTTGATGTGATAAGCCATGGGCCAGTCAATTTATATTCCCAAACAGATTTGCCAATGTCAGGCGAAGTCAAACTTTTTTAAATATCTAAAGTAGATATTTGCTTTTTGTCGTGTTCGAACACGCATTTTTATCGTAAAATATCAGATTTAAACATTTGTTGAAGACGTATGGCTAATTTTTATTCAATTCAGTTCGCACTTTAGCCATTTTCAAAAGTTTTCCAATTTTAACATGCTTAACTTAAAGTAACAATGCGACAGCTCTGTGTGCAATAGCAGGTTCAAGTAATGATTTGGCGAATTTATCAATATTGAGCCAAATTTCATTGGAAGTAAAGCTTTGTTTTAAGAGAGGCGAAAGATACCAAATGAACATTCAAACTCATAAGTCGAAATAGGAAGAAATACAATACTGGATAATGTTGGCCCTTAATTGAAAATTTTACATAAGCATATAAATTGTGCGATATTGTATCAAAATAGTCTTCATTAACAAAGTAGAGCGGTGAGTAACATTTCGATTGTATGGATAAGTGAAAATAATTCAAACTCAGTTTAATGTGTGTTTTGTAGACTCATTGGCATACAAGTTCCTGAAAGTCTATGAATAGACCGTGCTATATGAAGGAATTCAGGGTTACATTTTAATTGGCGTTTACTCTTTCGAAGACTTGAATAAATCTTATTACTAAGCATCCGGTTTTATCAGCAAGATTTAAAAATACCAAACAGAAAATTGTAAACAGACATATAATCATATATGTTTTGTCGTCAGGTTTCCGTCTCATTGACGTACATACCACATCTTTTGTTTTGTATATCGACAGAAAAAACCAGTAGACGAAACCAGACTGTAACAAATGAAAAACGACAAATTTGAGATTTCGAAAAAAATTAGCTAAACCTTAACAAATTAATGTGTCATTTCTTTCAGTTTTAATTGGTTACTTGTAAGTTGATGGCAGATGTTTTATAGTTTCTGTGAATTTTTTGACAATTTGTTTACAATACGGGATGATTTACAGTTTGAAGTAGTGTATACATATATATAAATATATGTAAGTCTAAATTGAAAACAACGTTCAAACCTATATATATATATATGCGTTTTGTTAAAATATACTTTTTTACTTTTTTGGCCTGTCAGAAAATATTGTTTGTGATGTATTTAGACCCCCTGTAACAAGACATTTGCGGTTTTTATCCAACGCAATCATAGGTTTGAACATTGTTTTCAATTTAGACTTGTATATATGTATTTATATATATATATATATATATTGTTGAAGACGCTATATTAACCTTTAAATGTCTTTTTGTTCATTGGTGTTGTCAGGTTTCTGTCTTATTGGTATATATCTCTAACTCCAATTTTCAATAAAACATGTTAGAGCGTTAAACAATAAAAACACATGCGAACAAAGTTTAATCTATATTTTTGTGACAGAAGAATTTTGTCCCATGTTCATATTTCCTTAGTCCGGACCTCGGTAAGTTATATTTTAGCGTGTTCCACCATGTCCGCCATTCCCACCTTTCCAACGACCACCGTTTCCGCCTCTTCCATAATTCCAACCGTTTCCTCCATTTCCACCTTTCCAATTACCTAAATTTCAAACTCTCCCATAATTCCAACCGTTTCCCTCATTCCCACCTCTCCAAGTACCACCATGTTCACCATTCCCACCATTTCCTCCATTCCCCCCATTCCAATTACTACTGTTTCCACCATTTCCAGGTCTGGTGTTTCAAGCAGGTTGATGTTTTGGTCCTTGAAAATAAAACGCATGATAATGTATTTAGGTGATAAGTCCAAAGTAATTGATTCTTCGGAAATTAAAATTGTTATATAATTACAATAAATATGCTAGCTGTATCAAGTATTTATATGAAGCAACATTCTTACAAAACCTTCTAAAAGACAAAAGGATTTTTTTTTAATTTACGTTCAGATATAGTGGTGAAGTCCTGAAAAAATAAACAGCATTTCAAGGAGTTGTTCCATAAAATCTATTCCGAGTTAACTTTACTGACATTAAGGATACTACTGATAATAGTAGGTCATATCTTGAAATATTTTTAGAAATAAACACAGAGGGATGACTTCAAACTGAATCTATGACAAAATTGAATTCAGTTTCTTACTTCAATCTTTTAGTAGTAACATATCTTAGTACCAATCGTGTGAAATTTTTATATCTCAATTAGTGCTTTGCGCACGTGCATGTGAAACAATACGAACTATATTATTATCATTATCGTACTGGGAAAGCTTTTGCAACATTCGGAGAGGTTTCTTCCACACTGATCATTTAGAGTCATAAAGAAAGCTTTCAAAAATTAATAAGACATGAGTACATCTTATCACAGGAAATACCATTTAATCTGAAAAAGCTACATTGTGACGATGTCATCATATGTATCGTGCCGTCTTCAAAGTTGATTTCAAACATCGTTGTATCTCATCAACACCGAAATATAATCATATTCATTAACAGATTTTATCGACATGAAGTAAAATTGTTTATTTTATACTTTTTGTATTTTAAGCTTTTGATACATCGGAATTCAAAATAGTACGCTTAATTGGCAAATAAATAAGAATAAGAATAATATAAACTGCATTTAGAATAAAACACATGAAGAAATAAATACTGATGGCTATATATTATTTAAATCGAAATGCCATCTACCAGATCTGTTCATGGAATACTTTAAAATAAAAACTCCTCAGTATAATGAAATACATAAGAAATAGGACTTCTGAAATCATGTGAACAACATAAATAATAATTGATATACGTACGCCTATTCCAATTTCTAGAAACTGATACAACCAGACAGACCGCCGGTAAGATGATAGAAAGCTTCATTTTCTTCTAAATTTCTACCTTGAGAGAGGGGTATAGATGTTTTATAGTCTTGATGTGGACATACAAACACGAATATAAGTAAGGCAACGGGATGTGTTTCAATTGATATGCATAGTTTACGTCAGTCATGTGCAGATGTCCGATACTTGAGCACACAATGATTGTTTTGTAGGTTGTAAAATAAGACGAAATGATCGCTGAATGGGTACAAGTTTTTATTATATTTTGTTACGTATAAGGAAAAAGTAAAATAAACAGTAAAGGAAGTTCATAATTGTCAAGTGTTCGGGGTGACTTATAGCTTTATTATACTTGAAAATCTATACAGGAAACAAACTCAACATAACTACCTGGCTTAACATTTTGTACGTCAGACTCGCCTTTAGTAAAATAAAGAATTACTTTTTTTTTCACTTTTTCTCACAACCATGTCAGACAAGATGTCATAATTAAATAAGGCATAATCAAATAAAACAAGTTATAGCAAAATCTTATCGATAACTTTTATTATGTTAACTTTTTTTAATTATTTTACGGTAGACAATTAGGACAGTAGTGAAAAAAAATGTATGTGGTTAATGCGATATAGGATGGTGTGTTAACGATATATAAATCAGGTATTTATAATGCTTAAATAAAAGAATTGTTTGCCATTTAAATACACATGTTAATAAATAAGTTATTATATAAAAGTCATAAGAAACTTCAAATTTAAAAAAAAAGTTCCAGAAACTGATACAACCAGACAGACCGCTCAGATGATAGAAAGCTTTATTTTCCTCTAAATTTCTAAATTTAAATCTTTTTTTTTTCAACTGTCCACCGAAGTTCAAATGAAGTGGATGTAAGCAATTATAGGCAACCGTACGGACTTCAACACTGAGAAAAATCCATACCGTATAGTCATCAGAAATATTTGTAAGGAAGGTCATCATCAACAAAAACCAATTTATATTGGAAGTACCTATATACACGATATACATAAAGTATTTTTTTCATTTAATACTGTCTTCAATAGCAAACATGGAGCAAAGAATAGCTTTTTGACTTAATGGATATGTGAAATTGTTGAGAAAAAAAAATGTTTTAAAATGTATTACATAGACTCTTCAACATCTGAATTCGAGTTAGTTTTAACAACTTTCTAATGTTGTCTATGTGAGTTCAACAAACTTTCATGGGGAAAACTGGTGTTATCTCTCTCGGGGGGAAACTGGTATCACCTCTTTGGTGAAAATAATTACCCATTTAGTCCCATTTACCAGGCATAAACCGATTCCGACTTTGTCAGCCTTTGCCAGTTGTTACAATAGTAAAGGACCGGAAACTCAAAAATGGTACATAGTTTTCATATATGTATCATCATTTTGGCAAACAACAAGAGTGTAATATCAAACCCCACTCCCATACGAAGTTAGGAACACCTAGCTTTTGTTAGCGTTGTGTGGTTCATTTATGTGTTTTGGAGTTTTGTGTGGCGTCCATTTCGCTTAACCAGTATACTTTATTGTTTATGGGCCAGCAGAATCCCGCCTGCGGGTGGGGGAATTTCTCGCTGCGTTGAAGACCCATTGGTGGCTTTGAGCCGTTTTCTGCTCTTAGTATTATTTTTATATAAAGGAATGTCACTGTAACTGTTATTTTATACTTGAAGCAAGAAACAAGTCGGGTGACTTAATTTTTTTCTTTTTTCGTTTTTAAAGCATATTATAAAACCTATCTACTCATATCTTATTTCAAAATTATATCTCATAGATTTATTTTTATTCACAAAAAAGTGATGCTCGACTTGTAGCTTGAAAAATAGCACGGTGACCCATACTTTTTATTGTATTAAAAAAAAAACCCTTGATAAATCTACATTTTGGCAATGTATAAGAAACGTCTATTTAAGGAAATATAAAGTGATGATCCACCTTAATTTGGAATATAAAATCATCACATCAAATAAGACATTACTGTACTAAAAATTGTAAAAAATAATTCCCACATAAACTGATATATATAAATTGTTGAAGACGATATATTAACCTTTAAATGTCTTTTGTTCATTGGTGTAGTCAGATTTCTGTCTTATTGGTGTATATCCAATATTCCACTTTTCAATAAAACATGTTAGAGCATTAAACAATATAAACACATAAGAACAAAGTTTTATCTATATTTTAAATATATATAAGATAGATAAATCATCATGAAAATTAGCATAATTTTGTCACATGTTCATTTTTCCTTAGTCCGGATCTCGGTCATTTATATTTTAGCGTTTTCCACCATGTCCGCCATTCCCACCATTCCAATGACCACCGTTTCCTCCTCTCCCTCCATATCGACTGTTTCCTCCATTCCCACCATTCCAACGACCACCGTTTCCTCCTCTCCCTCCATATCGACTATTTCCTCCATTCCCACCATTCCATGTACCACCATTTCCACCTCTCCCATCATTTCCACCATTTCCTCCATTCCCACCTTTCCAAGTACCACCATGTCCACCATTACCAGGTCTGGAGTTCCAATCAGGTTTTGGTTTTGGTCCTTGAAAATAAAATGCATGATAATGTATTTAAGTGATGAGTCAAAAGTAATCGATTGGTAGGAAATTGAAATAGTTAATTTATTACAATATATATGCTAGTGATGTGAAGTATTTATATGAAGCAAAATTCTTACGAAACCTTCTCAAAGACAAAAGGAATTCTTTAATTTACGTTCAGATATAGTGGTGAAGTCCTGAAAAAAAATCTAGCATTTCAAGAAGTTGTTCCATAAAATCTATTTCGAGTTAACTTTACTGACATTAAGGATACTACTAATAATAGGAGGTCATATCTTGAAATAGTTTTTGAATATAAACACAGAGGGACGACTTCAAACTGAATCTATGACAAAATTTAATTCAGTTACTTATTTCAACTTTCCATCTATTAGTAGTAACATACCTTAGTCTCAATCGTGTGAAATTTTGATATCTCAATTGGTGCTTTATGTACGTGCATGTTAAAAGATACGAAATATATTATTATCATAATGGTACTTTGAAAGTTTTTGCATAATTCCTAGAGGCTTGTACAAAACTGATATGTTATAGCCATAAAACAGCTTTTAAAAAGATAATTAATATGTATAGACTTTAGTTTAAAACGCGCAAGGCTACCTCAAAAAAGTATTACAAAAACATCGAAATCCAAAGGAAAATCAAAACGAAGAAGTCCATAACAACCGCCAAAATCAAACGCTATCAATCATCGCAATAAGTCAAAAATTTAAATTCAAACGTCGTTATATCTCATCAACACCAAATCTGTACATATAATACGATTAAATACAAACTCCTCAATATAATGGAATAAATATGAAATAAGACTTCTAAAATAATGTTAATCTCATTTAAGATACTAATTGATATGATTTACTTACGCCTATGCCAAGTTCCAGAAACTAATACAACCAGACAAACGACTAAGATGATAGAAAGCTTCATTTCCTTCAAATTTCTACCTTGAGAGAGGAGTACAGATGCTTTATAGTCTTGATGAGGACATACAAACACGGATATTAGTAAGACAACGGGATGTGTTTTGATTTATATGAATAGTTTATGTCTGTCATGGGCAGATTTCCGATACTTGAGCACAATGATTGTTTTGTAGGTTGTGCATGTTGTACAATAAGAAGAAATGATTGGTAAATGGTTACTAGCTTTTATTGTATTTTGTTACGTATAAGGAAAAAAGTTAAATAAACAATAGGAAGTTCATAATTGGCAAGGTGTTCAGTATGTCTTATAACTTTAATATAATTACAAACCTATACAGAAACATTCTGAACATATATACCAGGCTTACATTTTGTACGTGAGACGCGACTTTAGTAAATTTGATTTAATAAAGATCTCGAGTTACTTTTTTTCACTTTTTCTAACAACCATTTCAGACAAGATGTCATAAAAAACTAAGGCACTATCTCAAATAAAGAAGTTATAAAACAAAATATTATCGATAAGTTTTATTATTCTGACTTATTTTATTGTTTTACGATAGACAATTATGACAATGGTAAAGAAAAAAAAATAAATGAATGTGGTTATTACGACATAGGATGTTGTTTTAACTATATATAAATGTTGTAATTGTAATGCTTAAATAATAGAATTGTTTGCCATTTAAATACTCTGCTGGTGTACAATCAGTCCCCGAAGGCATCATCAGCTCAGTAGTCAGTCCTTTAGTACTGACATGATTTATAACAAACCTTTCTAAAATTGTCCGTTAATAAATTTTGAAATTATTAGAAACAAAGGTTTCAACTCCCTTAGTCAAAGTTTACCTTAGATGGATTTGGCTATTGTAGGTCCTTTTTGGTAATATAGCTCCTTAACTGTTTTGGTTCTTATAAATCATTGGCTTTGAGTGTTCCTGATGAAGGTAGATCCAGAAAAGCGCTTCGGACGCATGGAATTTATAATATGTTGTTTTCGTTTTTTAATAGATAAGTAATTGCATTAATGAATTAATATGTTATTAATGATTTTTACGTTGAAAATCTTCTCAAAGATAACGAATTTTAATTTTGTTCCGAGACGAGCGTTTCAACTGAAAAAAAATTCTCAGTGGCGCTGATTCAAGTCAGTTAGAAAGCAAAATATGTTTTTTTATTTTATTTATATAATCCTCTGAACATTTAAAGGTTCATATTTTGTATTTTGTACCTTAACTACACAGAGTCCGTCAAATATCGTTTCATTCTGACTTCTAGAAAGTGTTACAAAATGTAAGTAACATTCAGTGACTTTAACAAGGTAATAATCGTAAACGTGTGTGTCAAGGCATATGGAAAAATGAATTAATTTTTCACTGAGTGTAAACTATTCTTTGGATTATTAAGATACATTAAGTGTTTTTGATTGTCATTCCAATTTGCTTTTCCTCTTTCTACACTCCATTTTCACAGAATCTCAATAAGAAAAAGAGTACGTATTTAATTAAGGACTTTTGAAACATCGCTTGTAAAATGTTTGCTGCAACTTACACAAATATAAAAATAAGAAGATATGGTATGATTGCCAATGAGACAAATCGCCATAAGAGATCACATGACACAGACATTAACAACTATAGGACAAAGCTTTTTTCGTAAGTAAATATGCTATATGACAATTAACAAATGACACTGTCAGAGAACAAATTTAGTGACTATCTTTATAGACCACCAAAAAATAATTTCTTTGTTTTCAGAAAAAATAGTATTAATTCGTATAAAGTCTTTAATTAACCGTGAATTCTTGCTTGAGGTTTTGTTTTCATTTTATCCGTCTGTCTGCCCGTCGGTCAGTTGACAATTTAAAGACTGTTCGTTCTATTCAGATATATACAATGATATCTTCTTTAAATTTTATTTACTCTTTAGACTTGGTAAAAGTTTAAAGATTAGTCAATTAAAAATGGGGTCAGGGACCTCATATATGATTTAATACGTCATCTTTTTCATAAAATTTGAAATCGGGACTTGTTGTTATCAACAGTGTTATATTTCATAAAAAGTCTTGTGAAATGATTTTTATTGATGTGCATTCGTCTGGTATTCGTCATTCCGACAAATACTGAACACGACAGTTTTTTAACCTATAAATTAAAATTGTGCACCAGATACCTGAAAATACGATGTCGAACGTCTATCGTCGCCATTTAACAAGCGTTCTAAATGACAAAAAAACGGAACAAAATGATTTAATCAAAAAAAGCACACCGTGTTTTCAAAGATCGTATATTTACCTATATAGATGTACATAGATTTTACATGTTTGTGTCGTTGGCTTACTGTATTGTTGGCGTTAATTCGAAATTTATTATTTTATACTTGTAGAACTATAGGCGCCATACACATTCAAAATACTTCTGTGTTTTATTTCTGTCCACACTTTACACACTGGTGCCATGTGATCGTTCACTACAAGTGTATGTAGCGTGTTTCTGTCCACACTTTACACACTTGATCGTTCACTACAAGTGCATATAGCATGTTTCTGTCCACACTTTACACACTGGTACCATATGATCATTCGCTACAAGTGTATTAGCTTGTTTCTTTCCTCATTTTACATACTGGTATCTTGTGATTGTTCAGTACAAGTGAATGTATCATGTTTCTGTCCACACTTAACACACTGGTACCATGTGATTGTTCACTACAAGTGTATGTATCATGTTCCTGTTCTCACTGTACGCACTGTTTCTGTCCACATTATACACACTGTTACGTTATAATTGATTACTACAAGTGTATGTGACTTGTTTCTGTCCACACTTTATATACTGGTTCCATGTTATCGTTCACCGCAAGTGTATTTATCATGTTTCTGTCCTCATTGTACACCCTGATACCATGTGATCGCTTACTGCAAGTGTATGTAGAATGCTTCTGTCAACAGCTTATACACTAGTACCATATGATCGTTCACTACAAGTGTATGTAGGATGTTTTTTATTACACTTGTTACACCCTGGTTCTATGTGATTGTTCACTACAAGTGTATTTAGCAAGTTTTTGTTCTCACTATACACACTGCTATCACGTGAACGTTCAACAAAAGTATGTGTAGCATGTTTCTGTCTTCACTTTACACATCCTACATACTGGTTCCATGTGGTTGTTTACTAGAAAAGTATGTAGCATGTTTCTGTCCATATTTTACACACTCGTACCATGTGATCGTTCACTACAGTTATTTGTAGCAGATTTCTGTTTTCACTTTAAATACAAGTATTTAACTTTGAACGTTTTTTTTTTTTTTTTTCAACATTTGTTTTCAACATTCAACATCCGTTTTCAACATTCGATTTTCAATATTCAACATTCGTTTTCAACATTTGATGTTCAATATTCAACATTCGTTTTCAACATTCAACATTCAATTTTTTTTTTGGTAAAACATTCTTATTTTTTTTTCAACATTCGTTTTCAACATTCAAC